AAAAGGTGGTCAAATAAAGGGGAGTTTTTAACAAAAAAAAAGGGGGGGGGGCCCCTGGGGGGGCCCCTCAAAAAAAATTAACCAACCCTCTGGAAAAAGGGGGGGGAACCCCGGGCACCCCGAAAAGAATTCCCCCATCCCGCCACCCAGTTGGAGGCCCCTTTTCCCCCTCTTTTCCCCCCCCCCCCCCCCCCCCCCCACCCCCGCGCTCCGTCCCTCTTTCTGTTTGTGTGTGTCTTTGCGTCCCCCGCCCCCCCCTCTCTCGCCATGCCTATCTCCTCGTACCACGTCCTCGTGAACGCCGGCCAGTGGCTAAGCGGCCAGAAGAAGAGCGCCACCGCCCCCAAGCCCAGCAGGACCTGCGGCGCCCCCCCGGCCGGCAGGTACCGGTACGCCGCCCACGCCGCCCCCGCGAGAGCGAAGGGAACCCAAACCATGCACCCGGGGAACAAGAAGAATAGGAGAATGGAGAAAGCCTCCTGCGGCGGATTGGGGATTTCGAAGCGCAACAAGCAGACGAGGGGGAAGAGGGGCATGCGAGACGAAGCGAGCGGTGGCACGACGAGTGGATGGAGGCAGCGAGCGGAGCAATGAGGCGGTTGCCGTCTAAGGCGGAGAGGGCAGGATGGTGTGCGGGCGTAAGGACGGAAGACAAAAGTGTTCGTGCGTAGATGTGCTCCAGAGACACGGGGGTTAGGGGGTCGTAGTCGTAGTCGTACATCGTTACGGAGACGTAAGGAGCACTAACGTCCATAGCTAAATGACGTTATGATGCACGCGAAGAACACGAAGGACTGCCCTATTCTTTTTGTTGCGAACTATTTAGCTTCATGTCTTTTTTGTCACGACGAGGGATCCGTTGCTTTTTCTTGCTTATGTTAAGGAGTGTTGCTGTAGGGCCTAGATAGGGTACATCTTGGTCTAGCATAGGATGTGGGATGTCCGTGAGGTATACCTCTCAGGGACCATACCACATCAGGACTCAGCTATCTGCGTGCCCCCTGGTTGCTAGGAGGATCCCCTCCTTAATCAGACCTTCCTCGCTCTCAATTCAAGCAACATCTCATTTCTACACAATCTTGGAGACAAGGCATCAAGCGACCGTACCTCTTTCTTTTCCCTAGGACCCAGCTGCTTTCAACAGCTGGAGCTCCTTTATACTTAGCATAGCAGACAACGAAGTACTAGAGAGGACATCATTATTTTCAAACGTGAGACATGAACATTGTGCACGGACTACATGCAGTTTTGACATACAAGCCTACACATCAAACATCAAACCAACTCCCATCCATGCTGCATCGCACGACCCGATCTACCGCAATAGTTGGAGAGATGGCACCGGGTGCGATCGTTAAATAAAATATTTTTTCCTCGTGGCACCCCTGTGCCAGCTCTCCGACCCCGGTGCGGTAAATTCAATTCAATCATTTCGTTTAGATTTTTCAAGGCACCCCGGTGCGATCTTTCCGACCGGTGCGATCCCCGAGGAAATACACACAGGTGTTGCATGCACGCACCCCGATGCCATCTCCCCGACCGGTACCGTAGTATTGATATCAGTGTAGGCATTGATCAATAGAGAACGACACGTGTAGGTACCGGTGTTGCTGGTATGTAACAGATTTCCATGCAGCGAGTTTGGCTATGGCGTGATGAGGACAACAAACGATGTCCTTTTCATATGAGGTATGTATCGGTACATAGGGTATCATCAGTTGTCTCCCGCTTTCGTTTCAGTCTTCCTCCAGGGACCAGTACGTACGCAGCAGTACAATAGTTTCGTGTTGTGTAAGGTGGGGGAGGGTGCGGCTTGTACGTTGTGTGTTTCGTTGAGTGTACGGCTGGCAACTTCCACACGGCAACTTTGATACTTATTAGAAAATGCAAACAACTGGCATCCCGCGTGAACCGCGACCATGCATCCGTACAAACAGGAGGAGTGGCGCTCCGCTAACACCGTCCCCATCACATGAAAAAGGTAACTCATTCCGGCAGCTGAAAAGGAGCTCAATCTTGGATTTGGGGGCCGGAGACATCGCACCCGGTGCGATCTCACCGACCCCAGTGCGAAAAGCGAATTAAATCATGCCATTGTATTTGTTTCGCACCCCGGTCCCAACCGGTCCCATCTCTCCGACATCTCTCCAACGAGTGAGTACGGTAGGTATATTGGTCGCAGCAGGAGAGGAATTTTGAACGTGACTTTGATGTATGGATGCCATTTTTCACTTCTTTACCTGGAGAGCTGTCATGGGTTGTTGATGTCCTACGTCGGCGCTCAGTTCCTGAGGGAGGCGAACAGACAGAGAAAGCAAAGCAGTCAATAGACGACACCGGACCGGGCGGCGTGGACTCAGAAAGGAAAGCGTCGAACGTCGGAATAATTCTACGCACTCTATGTAGATACGAAATACCACTTGTACAGCAGTAGTGCCAAAAGCACGATGCAGAGTGTATGCTGCTCCAGTACTCAAAACACGTATGTATCACTTCTGTATCACTAATGTTTACAGACCTTTTCCTGAAACTTCGAACAACAAGCCGGAGTGGTGCGTACCACACCGTCTTGCTGGTGACATCGTTGCATCCGATACGCCGGTCGGATCAACAAGCGGTCGGCCTGTAGTAGTAGCGGCAAATCACAAGCGGGATAAAGGCGGGGAAAATCCTGCTGACACCCTGCGCTTTCCTGCCCCTTTGCCTACCTCGTGACAGCCACCGCCTGACCTGAGATAGCTCGCCCAGCACCTTGTGACGATCCGCCTGGCGGAGTTCGCGTCCGCCGGTTGCACGGTAGAGATCTGTGTTCCTTATCCACCCGGCAGAAGGCAGTGATGATGACGTACGCTCACCATTTGTTGTCGTGCCTCCGGCTTGATGGGCCATTGCCCTTGTTGTGCTCTGGCTGACGCAGCAGAAGAAGCTGTCTGTGCAAGACTGCAGTGAACACGCCCGTAGAGAGGCAGGCAGCTCGGGGTGTGGCGCGCTCGACACATGACGGTCAACAACGGGTAGGTTGGCAGGTTGCAGGTTTGCGGGAAAAAAAAGGTTTGAACCATGTGTGGTGTACCCTCTCGGTGGAACTTAATATTTGTGCCGCATTCAGGTTGCAACGAGACGCGATCTTTTGCCGATCTTTTCTACAGTAGATTGAAACGTGTGTAGTGCGTCGATATGCATTGTGCACAAATTCACCACGAGACCCTCTAGGTGGCACGCACAGCTTGTATTCCAGCCACAACGATCAAAGGGGAATATACGCCTCACCAACTCGAAACAAACGGTGGCACAAACACTCATGGCTCATGGCTTGGTCGCCCGAGTCAAAGCGGGGAAGCCGGTGTACGCTTGGGATGATCCAGGAACTCGTCCTGGAGCATCACTGGAAGAAAGAGGAAAGGCAGGTCGACATCACAACCGTCACCTCCGATATCAAAACAACCAAGCGCCTTTCTACGACAAGGAGGCTCTGCAGGAACAGCTCCAGGGTCTCCAGGCCGAGGGCATCGATCTTTCCGAGAAGGAGACACATTTGGGGCTTAGGCTGGCCAAGGCGCAAGCGACTCTATCGAAAATGCGCGAAAAAAAGGTTGGGCTCTCCCAGGCTAAGATGCTGGATGAAGTTATGTCGGTGTTTCCGGCTAAGGCTGCGGATATCTCCGTGGGCAGGAAGCACAGAGAAAGCGAAAGCAACGGGGACGGCGGCGGTAGACGCGAAGCAAGGAGTCAACAACGCCACGAAGAAACGAACGTAAGCCACGATTTTTTTCTCTGAACTGTTGCTTCTATTGGTGGTGTGTTCGTATCACAGGGGGCAGCACTCTTTTCCAACCACACACTCCCTGATTCTAGTCGACACCCTGAAACACAACACCCTCCCGTACTCGGTGTTTGTGCCGTCCTTCCGCTCGCTATGTTTTGGACTGGCTGCGCATCTGAATTGTTTCACGATACGCCGGCACACAATAGCAACAACTACGTTGACTACACACCTTCACAACATCATGAACCACAACGTCAACAGTTTGCGGCGCAGGATCGAGTCATGGAGCTGGAACTGTTGAACAGTCAGCTGCGAAAGGGACAAGCAGAGGCCGAAAGGAATGCCAAGCTGCAGGAAGACACCTTCCGCTCAACCAGAGCAGAAGTGAACAAGGTGGCCGAGAGGTTGAAGGCCATGCCGAAGCGGTTTACCCAGAGCCTTCAGAGCCTGCGAGACGAGGTGGAAACCCTCGAGCGCGAAAAATTCAACCTTGAGTTAGCGAAAGAGCGCAAAACCTCGAAGGTACTTCTCACAGAACCACGTAGTTCGGGGGGTCTAGGCAATTTTTTATGGGAACGCGAAGAGGTTGAAATTATTGTCCTTGAGTGCACCACCCTTGTACAAACTCTCGAAGCTGCTGACAACGAATACCTCCATCCCTCCGCGCCAACCACCAAGTACTTGTTACATCGAGCTCACGAAAGCAGCAGTAAGCTCGGTTGCCTTTGTAGGCAAGAGACAGCTATTGTTTATCGAGCATTGATAAAAAAACGAAGAGCAATCGTTTCCCGTTTGCTATGCTCTGAATTCGCAAGTTATGTAGCGTAGTCGACACACATGGGTGAGACTTTGGTGTGTTTTGAGTTGGTCAGCTTAGTGACGTACTCGATGCACTAGATTTTTACAGGGGCGACACTCAGCCTTTCTACACCCCCTATTATCACGCCTGTTGCCTCACAGGAGGCAGACCTAATAGCCTCAGCGAAGAGGCAGCAATCGTACCTGGGCGAAGAGCTAAAATCCCTCTTGGACGAGATTGACGACGTCGAAGATGATCGCGACCGATGGAAGCGCCGCCTTCGGTGAGAGAGAACTTTCGTGCCGTAGACCTAAGCTACACCATCTCTGGTGATATTGTCTTTGTCGCAAACAAGGCCCCACATGTAAAAAAACATACTGCTGCTGCACATGCGCCGCCCGCTGCCATCACCGCGTACCTTCTTACAACAGTCTGCGCCGCTCTTTCATACGTACAAACATTGAAGTGTACGAACTAAAAGTATGTTGCTCAGTAAGAAGCCAAGCGTTGTAGAGACCAAGGATGAGACGATGAGGACTCCACCAGAACAACAGTCTCTGCGACGAAGACACACGCGCAAGGTCGTAGATTTACGCAAAGAGCTTGCACAATGCTTGGCGTAGCACGCACTCTCAGACGCGTCCGTTTGCTTTGACTGTGGGAGAAAATATATCCTAGCTGTCGCTACAACGAGCGACAGCTGATAGATGTAACTGTCGTCAGACGTGTGCGTCCACAAGCGGAAACAGAGTGCAAACACCACACACTTGATACCACATCCGTTGTGTGCTAGTGTGAGGGCTGTGGTAACGTTAACTTTCACCTAGCGGTTACCCTCCCCCCCCCCCGTCCACATCCCTCTTTCGTGGCCATACATACCCCCCGCATACTATTGCTGAACCCCCTGTTCCCTCTTTTATTGTCCGGTGTTTCTCCAACTGCCAGCGAAACAGCAGGACACAAGTAAGTCAGTTCTCGTCACCTAGGGCACCAATCGTCATGGCACTACTTCGAGCGTGTGCTCCATTGCGATATCTCGAGGCGTGACAGTTGTGTTAGGCATGGCTGCTGTGCGTGGGAAGACCTTCGTGGCGGCGTGGAATCAAAAATCGTTTTTTTTTGGACCGGGCAATCGGGCCGCATCGCCAGGCGAAAAGCCAAACCGGATTTCACATCGCCACGATGCCCTCGCCACATAAAGCACCCATGCCCAACACAACTATCACGCTCAGAGACACCACATTGTAGCACACGCTCGAAGTGGTGCGATGGCGATCGGCGTCCTAGGTGTCGAGAAGTAATGTGGTGCTGTGCTCACATTGGTGGCAGTTGAAAGCGGTGGTAAAAAAACGCATGCGCGACACCAATAAATAGCCTCACCACACCACAGAGAGTCCGGCGGCATCGAGCCCAGATGCTGTCGCCCGCTGTGCGTGTGTGTTGCCTGTTATGCGTACGCTGTCTGCTGTGCGTGTGTTGTCTGCGGTGGTGTCGCCCGCAGTGCGTGTGCCCTCTGCTGCAATCCGCTGTGTCTTTCGAAAAAAAAAAAGTACGTCTGCTGACCCCTGTAGTCTAAAATCAAGTCATGTACTCTAAAACCTAGATTAAGCGAACAGACGTGACAAACTTTTTTGTCTCGATGGGACCCAATATTACGGCGAGACCTCAGGCCAGATTAGAAATCTCGCTTCGCTCGAATATGTATGTCCGGGCGAGCGCGCGTGTGGCTCCTCTGCATCGCATCTTGAATCGTCGAGCATTCGGCGTGTAGGCGGAATTGATTGGCTTGCTGTTTGCTACAACCCTCATCTTCGCGGGGTTTATATCTACGAGGAGGGTCCTCATGTATTTGTGACGACGGAACGCACGGTACAGACGTGCCTGTCAGAGTCCACACTTGCGAGCAAAAATTGTTTCTTCAGCTAAAACCCTCCCTCCACTTCTCCCTCCGGAACTCCTGCAGCGTGGAAACCACCCGGGCCGAGTCCCTCCGCTCCCAGCGCGACGAGGCCCTGAGAGCTTTGAGAGAGCGCTTCGGGAGCGACGCCGTCGAGCGCGCGGCGTTTGCTCGCTTCGCCACGGCCCCGAAAGGATCAGGAGGAGACGGGCTGATGGCACTGAGTCGGCGCGGCTGGAGAGGGGGGGGGGGGGTAGGGTCCTCGGATAGGGATGATGAGGAAGATGAGTATGGAGACGGCGACCATGACTCTGGTGATAGAGATGATAGTGATGAGAAGGGCGGCTTCAGCGGTCTTCGGTCTCCGAAAATCCCGGTGTCGATGATTTCGAAGGCGTTGAAACCGGTGTACGGTCCGGATTATGACCATGACGGAGGGGGGGAGGGGTTTGCGCTCCTGACCGAAGAGGCAGTTGGCGAGGCTGTACTGTCGGAGTGCGGGATTGACTGCTCGGCAATGGAAGCGACAGAAGTCGAGGGTGGTGGTGTGGGCGTAGGGTATGATGAGTTTCGTGCCATCGCGAAGCGGTTGGTAGAGAGAAGGATGGCTCCCGCCAACTGTGACTGATGCCAAATAGATGAGCCAGGCGCCCGTTTTGGAGGTCGGATTTTGCGGAGGAGGCTTTCATCATATCCGGAGTCCGAGTGGGGGGCGTCGACTGAGCGGAAGGAATGGCAAGGGTCTGTAGAGCAATTGCGTAGGGACGAGATTGTGCTGTTGAGGTTGCGATTAGTTATTACGAGCACCGGACGATCTCGCCCACATCCTACAGCAGTAGCACGTTCATCGACTACCAGGGAGCAAGTGCGTGGTGGGTGGAGTAGAGAAGGCAGAAAAAGGAAGGGGGGAAAACGAAGGACGACACACAAATCGAGACTGACGAACGCCGTCATGTGTTGCGGAGCAAAAAATACACCATACCAGCAAACTTTCAGATTGGCATCAGGAAGACAACGCGCCCATGACAAGAGTCCCTCAACGAAAATAATATATATATATGTCTTTCGTCTACGTCTGCGTGACCAACAATCGCACTACACGATGGAACGGAGTTGAAGAAGACGCGTGACAATCCAATGTCACGCGTCGGCACCAACTCCGC